TAGTGCTGAGTTCATGCGAGACTTCACTGAAGTTCAAGGGGAAATAAAACTTAGTCGCTCTGTCTCATGAGGGTAGTTATAGCGATAGCCCTGTGCTACACATGTAACTGAATTCTGTTAGGTGTAGCCTATACTCACATGGAGTGGTACCCAGAGATCCACGTAGAGCAACTGGAGTATGGACTCATCATACAGATAAAGTGCTGAGAAACATCTTTGTTCTGAAGCCAAACGTTTGATAAGAAATGCTTTGAAAGGTTCTTAAGCACACAAATCAACAAGACCTTCATTCTCCCTCAATAATAACAAAAATGTTGAAATACTCTACAATGAAATAATACCTTAATAGTATCACTTATTGTAAAAACACGTAAAAAACAACTTCAAATTTGGATTTGTTTCAAATCAAATTTTTTTTTCCAAGTACATAAAACATATAGAATGTCAACTTGAATACATGTTAAAATGAAGATTATCAGTCTAACAATCTGTCAACATTGATATTGATGGTAATATTTGTGCTCCCAGTGTACCATTCAGTCAGTAGATGGAATATGGTTAAGCAGGGTTGCTCTCAAGTGTGTGCTAGAGGAGAGGCGAGGTGAAGTGAGGCGTGAGGAGGAGAGAAGATATACTGTAGTTCTGCTGCTGTGACATTTTCCCATAATCCCTCCCAAATGCCGCCAGTGTCATGAGACGGAGCAGCAGGGAGGAGGTGGGAGGAGGAGATGGAAAGCATCTATCGCCATACATTTGAGTGTGAAGCGGCTGAAAAAAAAAATCATATATCAACCTATTTCCATCGCCTATAGATCAGCTCTAGCACTGAATAGGTGCATTTGCATGTGTGTGCCTGTTCCCGTGTATGTGTGTAAAAAGGCTTGATGGATGTTAATCCAAGAAATGTTCATGGCAGTAATTACCATAAAAAACAATAATGCAATGATTGGATCAAAAGAACATGACAGATTCATTAACAGCTGCACACATCAGCGTGCACACACACACACACACATACACACACACACACACACACACACACATACTGAGGACATGTCCTTCAACCACTGAAACTGTGAAAGCAGCAATTAATTCCATGCTTTCTATTCTGATTTCTCTCTGCCTGACAGCCAAATATCCTCTAATCGTTAGCCTTTACCTCTGCATATGTTTGATTTATGTGCCACTTGTTTCCATGTACCTACATGCCTGAATGTTAATGTTGGTACAAGTGTGTCTCTGCTGTCTCTCTCAACCCCCTAATTCACATGTATCTGTCTGTATCGCTTTGGTCTATCCTTCAATCCCAAAGGCCCTCAGATTTAGGATGAAGCTTACCGTAGCAGTGAAGAAGACATGCAGGGTTGTTATCATCCCAAGGTCACACACAAACACACACACACACACACACACACACACACACACACACACACA